AAATCTCTCATGTATCATCATGTAGGCTTTTTCAAAGTAATATATAAAGACTTGCGTTTTCCAGGTGTTTAGAGGGATCATGGGAACATGTGGATAGAGATCTTATTCTATTGCTGCAATTTATGCAAGACACTTTAGTGTCATCTCAGAATTGCAGATTTTTCAGAGGGGAAGGAACCATTTGATTGAAACATAAATCAGAGAACTCGTATATGTTAGAAAAACCATCTTTTTATGAAAATAAGATAATAAAGACAAGTATACTAAAGTTCTCTACATCTACCTGGGGAATTGACTGCAAAGCAGCTTGCTTATAACAAAATAGCTTTTGGAAATACTCTATGATTTCACATCTTCCAGAGAAGAGATAAAGTTTTATGATTATGGATATATTACCTGTAAACTACAAGTTCCTACTTTCCATAACAGGGTATCCTCTCCTACCAGGCACTGAAGAAATGGGGAATATTAAAGACAGCAGCAGAAAATAAGGAATAAAAATGAGTTAATATATTCTCATTTTAAGACTAAAATGAGAATATATTAACTCATTGTTTTGTTCTTAAAAAATGGTCTTCTGCCTGGTTTCTTCTGCTGTTTGCAAGCATAAAATTAACCATGAGGGGGATGCAAATAATCCTGGTAACTATCTCCAAAAAGCAGGAAATAGTTTGAGAACTGTAGCTTATGTCTTAAGTAAAAATGCTTACATCTAGTTAAACTGTATATGAGGCCCCAGGCAATTTCCTTAAAGGATTTTTTTGTGGGGCTGCATGGAAGAAAGTCCATCTGTTTAATATAATCCAAAACAAAAATAGACACCTCATGATTAATGAAAACTACAGGAAAATTTTTCCAGGGATTGTGAAAACATTTTCCTCTTACAGTTCAGTTCTTAGAGTTCCATTCTATTACAGTTAAATCCATTCTATCTGCCAGATATTATCAAAGAATGGAAGATTTATTTCAATTGTTGAAACTGGAATAAAATAGAATATTTATACAGAATTTTATAACTGTCTTAATTGAGGTTCATCATCACAACAGAAAGAAATTAATGCTTTTGGGTGTTGTGAAGTCCCAGCTGTGCAGGCTGCAGCTGAGGAAGACTGCATCCAGGGATTTGATTGCATACTGAGATGAGCTTCATTTGGCAGTGTGATACTGAGGCAGAAGTAGATATCGAGCTGTGTGGGATTTGGCTGCCTGGCTATGGCCACCAAGAGCCATTGGAGTTGTGTGAGGACAGCTGCAGCATCTGGCAGGCACAACACAGTTTTTAGAGCAGGGTGACATCTTTTTCAAAGGGTAGATCTGCTATCCCACAGTGACATCAGTGACACTAGAGATTATTTCAATTATCTACGTGGCATTCAAGTGTCACTGTAGGTCCTGGGGTTACCCTGCAAAGCCTCCCCAGGCCCAACCAGGCCTTAGAAAGCTGACAGGCTTCTAGGTACCCATAGGTGAGACAGGGTAGAAGACAAATGATTAAACAAGCAACAGAAGCTGAATAAAGAATAAGGACAGCAGTCCCTACCCAGTCTCCAAAAATCTGTTAGCTGCCAGACAGGCACACAATGACATTCGTTTTTAGGCACAAACTCAGCTGTGTGTGATAAAACTCCAGTTGGGAATTTTTAGAATGAACAGGACTTTAAACCAAAGAATTAGATTTGCTAGACTATCTTGCTGACTTTATATTTCATGTGATTACAGCACTTGCTGATAAAGGCTAAAATAATGAATAATATTACAGGCCTTTATGGGGTAAGGGAAGACTTCCCATTTAAGGGAAAATTTCAAATAAAGGAAGAAGGCTTTGGAACGAAGTGAAGGTAATTGATGAAGTCAGATTGATGATGCTGAAAGAACTGAGGCAGTACTTGTGATTAACTTAATTTTTAAATATGAAGGAATACTGAATAAACCTTTCAGGAAGTTTGATGTAAAACAAAAAGGGGAACCAATTAACTGACTCAAAGTATAGAAATTCCCCAACTCACACAAAGACAGAAATCAGTAAAACACAGTAGATTATTTGATTTTTAGATATTCTGACTAGAAATGCAATGCTACTTTCTATTGATATTATAACTGCATATGTGATATATACAAACCATTTAACATGCATTTTCTGGAAAGGCAAGGAAGAAGAAACTTTGGAATTACAACTCCTTTTCATATTTTATATGAACAAAATGTGCTTGATAGCTTTGCAAAGGACATTCCCAAAGGCAGGTTTTTTTTCTATAGGCCAGTGAATCATGAACTATTCCACAGCATTGATTCTATTACTCCCAGTGGGTGGCAGTTTTCCCATTTGTAGCAGTTCCAAACATTGTTTTTCCCTTAGTGGCAGAAAAATTGCATGATGAATGTGTTTCATATTAAGTTTTGATTAAACACAGGCATTTGTGATAATTTTAGTTGCAGTATACTCTTCAAAAAAATAAATTTTTTGTCGTACAAATGTAGTAAAACTAATTGTTTTTCCCCGTATTTTAAAGTTAGAATACATTTTTTGGTAATTAAAGTAAGGTTTCTTTGACAGCTTAGTGTTATATCATCTTATTAAATATAACTTCCTATTCAAAATGTCTATGGAACTAAAAATAAAAAAATTATAAAAAAAAAAAAGATGCTCAGATTCTAAGGATTTGTATTGCGAATGAATTCTCTGTTTGGGAGCAAGACATATTTCCAAAGCTTTTGACTTAGAAGTTAGGTAAGAAACTCTTGATATCTAAACTACTTTTTAACCTTGTCTTCTGAGAAAGTGCAAATAATTCTAACTGGCATAATCAGAGATTATCCATGTAAATGGAATTAATAGATTGGGACGGATAATCAGAAAACAACCAATTCTAGTTTTTTAGGTATTTTGGAGCTGATCCTACAGAAATTAGTCGTTATAATTGCTTACCCATAGAAGCTACACAGAAAAATAACGCGTGGGAAATACTCATTCTTTATGACCAAATTAGCCACTTAATTCTCCTTTTTTGCCAGTCTACATTTGGAGAATAACTGAAAATCTCCACCCCATGCACTCTGGAAATCACTCACATCAGCATAAGTGATATATTCATTAGCTGAGTGAATGTTAATGAACCATAAGAGAATTTTAAGGGTTTAGACCAGCTCTCGCTGATTTAAGGGTCTAATTTCCTCAGTAGTTCAGAATCAGTCAGAAAGGGGGAAAAAAAGGGGGGGGGGGGGGGGGAAAGAAAGGAAATATGACTTAGTTTTACAGTTGTTCTTCTTGGAGTTTCATCTTTCTTTGTCATTGATATAAAATTAAATGTTGTGTACCAGTAATTTATTTTAACCAAGAAGGATCAACACAGCTCAGCAGGACATTGTTTCTTCTGGGCTTGCTCATGTCATGGTAAATTGTTTGTTGTGCTGGCTAAGTGTGTGGAACTGTCTTCTCTGAGCCCTCCAAATTGCATAGAAATGTAACTGGAAGTCTCTGGTACATTCAGGACAAGAAGGTTGCTACCTAGTGGGATGTTTTTCAGCATATATTAAATCCTGGTTTGTATTACAGGTACAGACATTCATATTTTGGTTTAATATTTTACAGCTACAGAAAAAACCCCTACATTATTAAATATTATATTAAATAATTCAGAACTCACCAATTGGTCTGGAAATTCCTAAATGTGGTGGCAAACATGCCGTATTTCCCATCTTTTTGTGCAAAAGATCTAAGAAGGTTTTGCACAAAAGAAGAGTTATATAACATAATGTGTTATGTGAGTGGAAGTCTCAGTATGAGGCATTATTTTCAAGTTAATTTTATTGCATTATTTAATTTCTTTCTTTAATGATAGGTACATCAGATTTTTGATGGTCTGTAAAATGCTCAGGATGTAATTGTTTACTCATATGCCATTGACCAATGAACTGTTTCTACTTCATGGGCTCATTATTTACTAAAAGTGGGTGTAAACTACAAAACAGACTGTTTTGCACAGATGTAATTCATATGGAAACTATTAGGTTATGGCTGTTACATTCATGTTATGTTTTCCCATAGAATGCATTTGTTTCAGTGGTGTCTAGAACAGTCATCTTGTCTTCACTGCAACGTGTTATTTTCAATATTAGATTAAAATATAAAATCTGTAAGCCAAATTCTTGCTGCAGATTAGTTATGGTATAAGTACGAACATTGTGTGTCCAAAACATTTGAATAGCTTTTACTTGAGACAAAAAATCAACTAACTAATGTAGACTTCTGCATTAAACATATACAGAGGTCTGTTTTAACCTGAATCATGTTCAATTAAATGATCACTGTTAGAAGAATGTGAGATATACTGTAGAGCTGAATGAGCAATGATGCTGAGGAAATGGCAGAGATCTTCAAGTATTTATGAAGGTGGAAGCTAGTAGGCATCAAGTGAAACTGTATCTGTCTCTTTAAAGTCACTGCATTTTAGTTAATATGATCTGTCAAGCTGATAGTCCTGTTGAGCAGAGCTTTTGCTTTAACTTATGTGGGAAATCTTATGGATAATGTAAAGTGGTTCCTTTCCATGTGCCAGTCAGGGTTTTGGGGCAAGCAAGAGCACATGAGCCTGCTGAGCAGTAGACATAGATTACTGCAACAAAAGCAGTGGGGAACAATTTAACATTAGTGTTTCACTGTATCTCTAGAGTAGTCTGCATGTTTCCAGCTGAGGCTCTTTCTCCTATGTGCTTTTGATGCTTTGAGGGATTTTGTTATTCTTGAGGTCTTTTTCTTTTTCTTTTTCTTTTTCTTTTTCTTTTTCTTTCCCTTTTTCTTTTTCTTTTTCTTTCCCTTTTTCTTTTCCTTTTCCTTTTCCTTTTCCTTTTGTATTTTTGTTGTTTGTTTTGTTTTGTTATGTTAAGTTCTGTTTTTTATTTGTCCCTGCCCATATTTTGAACCCAAGTCATTTAGGCAAATGCTAAACAATTTCTGGTGAAATGATTCCCTATATTGAAAAGGTTTTCTTTTTTCTTCTCAGGGAATTCCTGGAATTCCTGGAAATCAAGGAGCAAAAGGACAAAAGGTACTATTAGCTGTTCAAAACACAGTCAAAACTTATACTATATATACCCATTCCAAACTAAGCGTTCAGGCTCAGAGCAGAGTTTTCATAGTGGGGATTTATAACATCAAATCATGCTGCAAAAGAATGGAGACAATTTATGGCATGTTTAAAAATCTCTTACTAGGTTTTACTTCAACTACTCCAGAAGGAATTAATAGTTTAAAAGGAACCGTGCTAATTTCCTAATACATTGAGAAACAATCTAAACTAGTTAAATCTGCATAGTTAAAGAATAAATTAAAAAATGTTAAGTATACATACATTATTTTTCTCTTTATGTGAAAAATACAGGGTGAAATTGGACCTCCAGGTCAACCAGGAGCAAAAGGGTCACCAGGAGATACCGTAAGTCTCAAAATTCTGTCATTATGAACAAATAACTGTGGTGTCATAAACAAACATTCAATGGCAAATATAGGAGCAAACTAGCATTTGCAGATCGGAAAGACAAGGCTATGGTAAATGTAAGTTTTTAGCTCAATGACATATTTGCAGCTTGGAAATTCTGGCTGAAAGTTGTGAACTGGTTTTTTTCTTTGTAACCCTTGCCATTACTTTAAGCTTCTGAATATTTTGACAGGAGGTGAGTTTATGTTTTTATAGGGTCTTGGATTCTGATAGTTGTTAAGAGATTGTATTTTTCGGTTTAATTACTTGTTGTCTCATGATTTGTCTCTCCCATCATTTTTTGAGGTGTTTCCCATCAGTGAACTTCTTGACATACAGTAGTCAGGTTGGATTTCATCCATTTTGATAGACAAAGGGGGTTCTGATGTCCCTTTGTAGTGTTAAAAGTAGAAGTATTGTCTTCAAGGACAAATACAGAATACTCAGCGGTTCTCTACAAGGGTCTTGATATTCATTTCTCAATCATCGGTACTGTCACACTGTTAAGACCATCTTAGTACCTACCTTTCCTTTCTTGACAGGAATAATCATTTTGGGGACCATTCTTTCCCACTTACAGTGACTGCAGAGGTGTTGTGGTGGCTTGTGCCTCACTTGGTTAGATTACAGGAACCTTGAAGGAAGAGGATGCCAAGGATGTCAATGTGGACTTTTTAATCCTCTGTCTTTCTTGATGAATCTCTTTAACATCCTAGTTGAGGTTACCATCTTCTAGAGTGTGTAAGGTCAGACCTGAAAGCAAAATTACTTGGGCTTACATCCCACTGTGGTATTCCCTGTTTGAAGAGAATCCTTGTTTGGATGGAGGTTAGTAACATGTATGTTTGACCACCTTGGTATGTGCAGTCCTGTGTAATTACATGTCACTGCATGCCAAATCAGCCATCTGGGTTTGAAAGTAATTACTAACCTAAGCATCATTTATATACTGGTCTGCTGAAGTGTTCCTTCTCCTCTTCTCTTCTCTTCTCTTCTCTTCTCTTCTCTTCTCTTCTCTTCTCTTCTCTTCTCTTCTCTTCTCTTCTCTTCTCTCAATTAAAACTGATGTAGTTTTTTTTGGAGACAGAAATTGAAATTAGTTTAGAATTTTAAAAATTCTGGGCTACTCTCTCATCCAGTACATTTTTAATTTCCTACTCAGTATACACTTACCCGCTATCCAAACAGCATCTCTCCCTTTCCTGACTACCACAGACACAATCACTACATTACAGCTGTCAGAAAGAATTTTTAAATAGAGTACACTGTTTAATTTTCTTTTCATGAAATTTGAGGACTTTTCCAGCTACCTCCTAAAGATCTCTGGAAAAAAATAGATCTCCTTGACAATCAGTTATTGCAATTGTCCAGATCAAATTTGGATGAAACACTGCCTGAACTGGAAATTTATATGTCCCTCCTCTTAGTTAACACATGAACATTTGTTCTCTCACCTGTGCCTCCTAACTATTTTTATTGCCTGTTACTGGAATTTCTTTCTCCATTTCTTTCTGAGCAAAGTTGAGCAAAATGCCAGAGGGAAGGCTATATCATCAACTCCAATAAAACCTTGTGGGATTCCAAAGTGCTTATATTTATTTAACCCACCTACCAAATTTTCTTCAAATTTTATTTAGATAAATAACATCTGGTTCATGATACACTTGAAAATAATTTATTTCTCTTTCCTGTCACCTGATAAATTGAGTAGGAGATTGATGCATGGAATATCTGAATATATTATATGGCATTAGGGAATTTAAACCAGAAAAGATAGTGGGATTTTCCTTGTATTAGTCACACTGAATATGTTTGTTCCAGAAAACACAGATGGAAAGCTTGTGGATGGTCTAATAATAGCTTGGGAAAGTTTCTCAGTTACAAGTTCTTCTTCAGTAATGACTATCCCTATTGCATTGCCAACACCAGCAATTTATTAATTTACCTGACATATAATGTCAGCTCTGCAAAATAGGACAATAATGCTATATTTTATGTCCTTGAATTGTTCTACATTTTCATTCAGGACATTCTCTTCTCTTCTAATTTTTTATAGTTTTCAGATTATGTTCACAAGCTTTTCCTATATTGCATCTGAAAGTTTCCTTCTTGCAGTGTGCTGATTTCATTTAGTCGTCTCCATGTAATTTTTTAAACAAAACAAGTCAAATATGGCCTAGTAATCAAAGTATGAAAAAGGAAATGAAGAAAAATGGACTTTATTTCTCCTTTTCTGCAGATGTATTCTTGACCTTTAATTATACTAAATGTATTTTCTCATTTGCCTTCTCTGGTGTGTGTTTGCAGGTCAATGTGAATACATAGCTGATTTAATTATTTTTAAAAAATAAGCTATTCTGTACCTATAGCATTTCTGCTTTGTATAAGATAAAATGAACGAGGGACATTTTTGTTGAGCATATGCCACTTCTGTAGCCCAAAGACTGATGTGGATTTCACTAGAAATGATCTAGTGTGGTCGTAGAGTGTCTATGGCCTAAAGAATAAGTTGCTATATTTATTGATGGAAAGTTTTGGTGACCAGTATTTTCTTATCATAAAGCAGGCAAGAAACATGAATTAATCTGTGGTTAATTTCTATTAATCTTTGGTTAGTGGTAAAGCACAGGTGAAATACCAGAAAACTGATGAAATTCTGAAAACAATAGCTATAGAGAATTGCTTCTTGCTTTAGGTATTCTGAATTTTCTCTTCTATTCTGGAAACAAAGACACCCTTTAAGTTTTAGTTTAGTTTTAAAAAAATAAAGTGTTTTTTTTTTTTTTTTTTTGCAAAGCTGAGTTGTTATCTGTATGAGAAATTATATCTGTTTTTGATTTCACGTGACTTTTGAAAGAAGTCTGAGATAATGTCATGGGAGTGAATTGTTCCTGACATTTAATACTAAACAGAAGGTGATTGGTTTTATTTATATGAAAACGAAGATTAAATAACAGCAATAACAGTGAATTTTGAAAATATTATTGGTTGGAATAATTGATAAAATTTAATCTCTGACAAGTTAGATTTCCAGGCTTTACTTAATTGTTTGACTTTCTGTATCATTATGCTTTTATTTTATGCTGCTCTTATTGCAGATTGTATTTCACAGTATTTAAGCAAGTCCAAGTAAAACAATAATAATATATTGATTTTATTGATGCATGAAGTTCTAGACTAAAAGTGAAGTGACATGAACTGGTGAAAAAGAGAATTGTTAACACCAGATGTGGAAAATGTGATTAATGGGAATTCCTCCCTGGAAAGTATGATTTCAAAGAAGGATTTATTTTCTAATGTATACTTGAGACTAGCTTTAAACAGAAATTAAGAAAGTCAGCCCTTTGATGATTTAATTCTCTTTAGCTCTTATTTTAGGTAGGGAACATGCAGTTAAACATCCCTTTATGAATATGATTCCATTTGTGGAGTCCAAGAGGTTGTATTGGCTTTGTACATGTGCTAAAGTGTCATGATCTGAACTAGCAGAATCTGTTAGGGTCTTGAATGAGTAGTTCAACTTCGAAGGTTTTGCAGAAGATACAAAGGTGTGGCCGCAAAAGTTAACTGCTTCTGATAAATCTCCACAAAATTTGCACAGTGGGTCAAGTTATGGCAGCCTTTGAGGGACACACAGTCAGAAAGGAGAAAGAGAATAATTAAATGCCACAAATACTTCTGCTGGTTTTGAAAACCATAAACAGAACCCAAGAAACTTGTGTGTCACTTTCAGTTATAACTAAGGATGCATTACAGACTGGGTCTTGAGTTTAAGAATTTTTTGCTCAGGAGTATTCCATGACAGCACTGTTCATTTCCCCTGTATGATTTTTTTATGTTGCACAGTAGCCCTTCATTAGAAGGTCTGCTTTGGTAATTTAGACCATAGAAAGTCTAAATAATCCACTGTACTGTATCAAAACTATAGCTTGTATAGTAATAAGATAAAAGACATTGTATTTACTGTTTGATTCACTAAAGAAATAGAATAATGATGCTACTAATACAATACCAAGCTCATTATTCCTCTGTTTTAATACAGAAATATCTCTGTCTTTTTCATAAATAAATAGGGTTTGATGGGACCAGAAGGTTCACTTGGTCTACCTGGAGCTCCTGGGCCCAAGGTAAGCGTTTGACTCAATTTGCTTGTGACCTTGATAAACCACTGCTTTGTATGCAAATTTCATCTGGACAATGCCAGGATTTTGCAGCTCAGTTTTGGTGTATTGAATATTGGTAAGCAGCTGTATGATTTTCCCTGTGTTACCTTTTATGATAGTTCAGACTCAAGAGAGGTTAGTGTAACTCAGTAAATGGTGCCTGTCACCCTGTGAGGTTTTAACAGTTGTGGAAATGGTCATGAGACTTTGTTTCAGCTTTACAGTCCTGGAAAATATTCTGCAATGCTGGAAACCAGAAAATTCTCAATATACATCTGAACTTTCCCATGTTACATTTATTTATATTTTAATTGTGTTCAGTAATGTTATGTGCTGTTTCTTCCACCCAAGGAGCCAAACTTATTTCAGATGTAACTTTATTGATTGCACTGCAGCTACAGCAAGAACTAATTTTACCAATGTTCTCAAAAGCTAAAAAAACCCAACCAATTCAGATTGGTTTATGTAACTTTTTAATTTAATCCAAAATGAGTTTTGGATTAAATTGTAAGTATTGAATTGTATGTCCTAGAGAATATTTAGGAATACAGAATCTATTTCCCTAACCTTGCATTTACATTTAGATCCGTTCCCCCCCCACATTATTCTACATCCAAAAGTGTATATGCATTTATTTATAATTGTATACTGACAGGTACATTTTTTTAAGTATTAATGTTTTCTGTAGCCAAGAAGGTTGCATACCTATGATACATCTAAAAATTAATGAGCTTTATTTTTATCTGTGAAAAATGCTTTTATTTTGTATATTTATCTCACTTAGAATATAAGCTGTTTCTTAGTGAATTGTTCTTAATAAGCTCATTCTCATAGAAGTCCATCATGATGTAGTCAATAATTCTTAGATTTAATGCAAATCCTCATGCTGAATATATGTCTAATTCCATAGGCTGTGATAAAAGCCAGGACATAAATAAGTATTTTGACTTAGAAAATTAAATAAGATGATGGAAATGTGAGGTCAGTACACACAAACTTGGTGTGACTGTGTGAGGCAAATGAGGCAGGTGGAGATGGGACAGGTGTGCAGAAGCTGGCAGATCAGCTTTTGTCATCAGTATCTCATCTTTCCTGAGAGAAAGTTAAACCTTCAGGCTGCCTGTAATGGAGAAGAACTTCAGCCTTTCAGTCACTACCTGGGCCCATTTTTAAGAGTCAGTTTCTCAACAGTGTCTGTTTATGTTTGCTAGTCATACCACATGTGACAAAACATCATGATGTATCCACCCCATTGTTATACAGGGTGATAAAGGCGAACCAGGAATACAGGGGAAACCAGGATCATCAGGAGCCAAGGTAAATATGATTCTGGAAGTGTTCTAGTTAAAGAAGGGGTTCATTTACTTCATCATGCTTTACTAATTTTCCATTATTTCCCCTGGTTAATTATAAGGCAGTTTGTTTCACAGTAAAACATTAGTTAACATCACATTGCATCAGAATCTATTTGATGATTTACTCTTACTATTTTTACTAGATTTTAGGCTGTGAAAATCAAATGCTCTTTAAGTTCAAACCTGCAAACATAGTTGTTACTTGAGGCACTATTTTTAATGTAATTTTGAAACATCAACTGTATTAAAAGGCAAAAATAAATATTGAATGTGACTTCTCTATATTCACCATCCCTTCAAAAATCCTTCAGACATTTCAATCATCTTCAGTTGTAAAATTCCAAAATATCATAGCCAAAGTGTATCATGTGGCCTTGAGAAACATCCAGTGTGTGTTTTTACACACAGCATATCACTGACACAAAGCTATTGTATTACTCAGGGTGATCTAGGAGTACCAGGGGCTCCAGGTGAACCAGGCTACCCAGGCATTCCTGGTACCCAGGGATTAAAGGTAGGTATTTTTTTTTCCACTTCTACATTAAATGCACCTTTTTTGGAAGTGTTTTTCTTGTAAGTGATCATTATTTTACAAAATCCTTTCTCTAAATATATCATTATTATTAGATAACAGTTGGACACATTTAAAACACTAATATGTCCATCCTGAAAATTGTTTTCTGATAAAGCCCTTAATGTGAAGGAATTTGTGGTGAGTTGACCTTGGATGAATGCCAGGTGCCCACCAAGCTTCTCCATCACTCCCCTCTTAAGCAGGGCAGGGAAAAAAATCAAGAAAATAAGATGGGAGAAAGTTCATGGGATAAGATAAAGGCAGTTTAGTAAAGCAAAAGGAAAGGCCATGTGTGGAAGCAAAGTAAACCGAAATATTTATTCTCTGCTTCCTGTCAGCATGTGTTGTCCCGCCCATTCCCAGGAAGCAGCACTTAGTACATATAGAGGTTTGGAAGACAAATGTCACAATAATGAAACTTCCTCTCCTTCCCCTTTCCTTTAGCTTTTATTGCTGAGCAGACTTCATATGGTATGGAATATCCCTTTCAGTTTAGGTCATCTTCCTGGCTCTGTCATTGAACAGTTGTGTCTAAAAGATCATCTAGTTCCAGCCCCCATGTCGTGGGCAGGGACACTTCCTTCCACTAGACGAGGTGGCTCAGAGCCCCATCCAACCTGGCCTTGAACACTTACAGGGAGGAGGTATCCACACCTCTGAGCAACCTGTCTCAGTGCCTCACCACCTTCAAAATAAGAAACTTCTTCCTAATAAAGCTAGTTTCAGTTTGAAGCCATTCCCTCTTGTGAAAAGTACAGCCCCTTGTGAAAAGTACCTCTCCAGCTCTCTTCTAAGCCCCTTTTGGGTGCTGGAAGGCTGCTCTAAGGTCTCTCCAGAGCCTTCTCTTCTCTGTGCTGAACAACCCCAACTCTCTCTGTCTGTCTTCATGAGAGAGATGGTCCAGCTGTCTAATCATCTTCATGGCCCTCTGCTGGACTTGATCCAACAGATCCATGGCCTTCTTGTGTTGGGGGCGCTGGAGCTGGACACAGGTGGAGTCTCAGGAGAGTGGAGTGGAGGGGAGAATCACATCCCTACCTTCAAAATAAGAAACTTCTTCCTAATAAAGCTAGTTTCAGTTTGAAGCCATTCCCTCTTGTCCTGTCATTACAGCCCCTTGTGAAAAGTACCTCTCCAGCTCTCTTCTAAGCCCCTTTTGGGTGCTGGAAGGCTGCTCTAAGGTCTCTCCAGAGCCTTCTCTTCTCTGTGCTGAACAACCCCAACTCTCTCTGTCTGTCTTCATGAGAGAGATGGTCCAGCTGTCTAATCATCTTCATGGCCCTCTGCTGGACTTGATCCAACAGATCCATGGCCTTCTTGTGTTGGGGGCGCTGGAGCTGGACACAGGTGGTCTCAGGAGAGTGGAGTGGAGGGGAGAATCACATCCCTTGCCCTCCTGGCCACACTGCTTTTGATGCAGCCCAGGATGCAGCTGGCTTTCTGGGCTGGAAGTGCACATTGCCAAGTCATGTTAAGTTTCTCATCTATCAACATAAACAAGTCCTTCTCTGCAGGGCTGCTCTCAATCCCTTCTCCACCTAGCCTAAATTTGTGTCTCCACTTGAGGTCTTGCCTGGCCATAGCTTACAGGAAAAGGTGAGAGAGCCTTTGGATTTGGAGAGAGAGCCTTGATATTGCAGGGAGCTCTGCTCAGCAATATCCAAAGCACTGGTGTGTTATCAACACCTTTCTGGCCACCACTGCAAAGCACAGCACTATGAGAGCTGCTATGGACAAAATGAACTTCTCAGCCAGACCCAGTAGGGCATTAGAGAAATATAATTGAATCAGGCATCTCACTTTCATAAGAAGAGAAAGTTTGAAGGATAAAGAGACAGTATGATAGAATGGTGGTGTTGTAATTAAAGTTTTATGAAAATCCCATGCAGAAGTATTCCAACAGATTTCATCTTCTGCTGCAGAAGGCACACGTTTCTTGTATGTCCAGTGTCATACATGCCAGCCTCCTATGTACGTCATACATATACTAGAGTACTTCACATGTCAGTACACACATATATGAACATGCCTTACATTGACAAGAACATGGAGTCAGTGTCATAATAATAGTTGAATTATTTTCACTATCACTGTATATTCAATTAAATATCTAGGGGTTATGTTAGGCACATGTACTAAGACAATAATATTTTATGAAAGATGATTTTGTTAAAATTTATGAAACTTCTCTAAATTTTAAAATGAAGAAGAAGCCTTTGAAAAGGTCATTTATTTTATATGAAAATGCAAGATAGCTGGAATTGCAAGTCCAATGACAAACTGGAATTATTCAGGAAGAAAAGCACAGTTTGGGCATCTGACAGTAAAAGTGAAGCCTTTCAGCTATAGATGATTTTAAAACTTGAAATAACTGAATATTTTACATTCAAGTACAATACAACAAAATACTACAGTTGGCATAAATTTCTTCTTATGTTCTAGGATTTTCAGTCAGGTAAATATCTGCTATGGCAAAAATCTCCTTTTCACTACTGTTTACATTTAACTAAACATTTATTTTATTCCCCCCTTCCCACCCCCTCAACCCTAAAAAAAACCCAAACAAACACACAGAGTTTTGGCTCTTACAAGAAAGCTGACAAAACAGACCCAAAAATCTCCATTCTAATTAGTTTCTTTATTAAATGCTGTTTTGCATCCCCCCTGTAGCTCTGTCTCTTGTTTCATCAGCTGCTATGTTCATGGTTCAGCATTTTGCTTTATGTCTGTTTAAACACGAGATGTCAGATTTAGAATAAGAGCCACCTCCATAACTTCAAGTTTCCTTTTCAGTTAATGAAAAGAGATGGCCACATTTTTGAGTACATATTTCATGCCTCTGTTGTTAATTGGAATGAATAATTTTCATGCATTGCCTGTTTCTCTCCAGGGTCAATTAGAGGTGTTCAGACAAGTTGATAAAACTACATACCTGACTTCTAAGCACCATTTACCACCTGATTGTCAATCCCCCCCCCGATTATTATTTACTTTAAACATTTTGAGGCCGAACAAGTGGGTGGAAATGGAGCTTAGTCCTTAAATATTTTGATTTAATTTAAATATAGAAGTGTTTGTGGTGAAAAAATACTTTTTTCTTGTTTGTTTTGCATAACTTATGCATGTGGTGGTGCATTCAGCTAAAATTTAACCCATAAGAAATATTGCCTCCCTTCCTGCCTGCATCTTCTCCACTCCCATACACTGAGTAGGTAAAGTCCTGCTGGACTTGCCACCTCATTATGTTGTATTTTTTAATTTCTTACTTGGTATGTGAGCATCCACTTTCTTTTTAATTTTTTTACTCGTTATATGAGTGTCCACTCTCTTTTTGTTAGTTGTGTTAATGACAAAGTCCTTTCTTGGAATAGCTTTCAGGTCTTTTTTGTGTACATGAAGACAAAATGATTTGTTTTCTTTCAGTATAAGAAAAAGATAGCTGTTTCTCTTGTAATTACTGTGTTAATTGAAAGCAGAGACTACATGTTTTAGAGGTGACTCATGTTTAAATGGAAACCTTTCTTCTAATATTTTACAGGGGGAGAAAGGAAGCCAAGGTGACACTGGTATCCAGGTAGATCAACTTTGTTTCTAAAGAAATCATCTGACATTGCTGTTTATACGAGTCTTGGATATTAATTCAGATGGGGTTTTCTTAAGATTAAATTCCACAGAATGTTAACTTGAATAGCAGCAGTAACTCTCCTTCAGGGACATCTGCATTTCTGGGGGCCTGAGCACCCTGTTGGCATTTGGTGCAGAGCTGTGTGCTCCTAGCAGTGGTGCAGGCACAGGGTGCAGGTTGTGCTGCTGCCCCAGGGGTCTGGGGCACCACCCAGGACTGTCACAGGATGTGCCCTGTCCCTGCCTGCAGGGCACTGCAGGATCACAGAAACACAGCAAAGTAACTCCACCTGCCTCTGCCTACCTACTTTACTATTACCATATGGGATTCTCCCCCTTGCTATTTAAAATTATGGAAATACCTACAAGAAAAAGAAGCCTATTCTGTCATTACCTGGATCCTGGCTTGGTTCCTCTGTGTTCAGGGTAGAAATTTTATTCTTCACAGTTTGTGCACTGATCTCTTTGAAGAGTAACTTTTCAGATTGATTTGTCCTGGTTTAGAATGAGTTTTTAATATTTAGCTCCTTGTGTTATTTTTTTGATAGTTTAATTACATGTACCAGATAAGTCTATATTTTATAAAATGTTCTTCTTTTCTAAAGGGACTGAAAGGAGAAAAAGGAAGACAAGGAAATCCAGGCTTACAGGTACTCTTAAAATAGTGATCCTACTTCAAGACAGCTATAGTGATCCTAGTTTGAGGCCATGATTCATATTTGTTTCTTACCACTTCTTCCTTCAACACATACAGGTCTTTGCATCAGGTGAAATACATTTATGTACAACATGATAACATAGTTATATAAATTGCCTCTTAAACACTCTTAGTATTTTTAAAATAACAACTATAACACAGAGAAGACAGAGCAACACTTCTCTCAGCTGTGCATGCTCGAAGGATGAGAGGAGATGCACATGAATTGGAACACAGGAACTTGATATACAGGAAAAACATTTTGTTTTGAGGGTGGACAAACACTAGAGCAGGTTGCTCATAGATTTGTGGCAAAACCTGTCTGGACAGCATGTTGAGTTGATCAAGCTGCATCTGTTCTGCAAAGGAAGTTGAATCCAAGGAGGTCACTTCCAACCTACATATTTCTGTGTTCTGTGATAGTATATCTTGAGAAACAGACCATAAGTGCATTTCTTTTCTTATTGTAACAAAGCCTTAATTACATTTTTATAAAATATTTATAAGTAATATAAAATGCAGATAACATCAAATAGTGGCTTTTATGTAAAGGTTATAAGAGTGATAGTTGAGATGTTTAGATTTTGCATGCACCATGCTACACTTTCATACAGTTCATTACCTCCTAGACTATACTGGGAGTCATTATTGACATCTTCTGTGCTCATAAATTACAGATGTCTCCTGTTTCAGCTGTAAACCAGTGAGATCCATTTGTTTCTCTTTAACTCTAGGCCAGTGTATTCTGATTGTGTCATAGTTGGCGATCTTGTTATTCCGCAGAAAATAGCTGTTAGTATTTATAAATACTTGCTAACTGCATAATCTATGTCATGTCTAAACAGAGAAGTATTTTTTAGAGGTACATATCTGAAACTAGACTTGGAAGGAAGCCATGGTTGCTTTTTTCAGAATGACGCCATTGACACAGCTGCCCGTCTAGCCAGATGGACCCGATTCCCAGGGATTCTGGGCAGGAGATCTGGACTGCATGTTGGTTAACACTCTCAGAGATACACAGGTTGAAAACAGTTCATTATTAAACCTGACCACATTTTTCAATAAGGAAATATTTTTTTAGTTTAAACTAAAAGACGAATCATTGACTTAACCAAATATAATGGCTTAGATTGACATTTTACAATTTAAACTTTCTGGTTAATTTTTTTTTTTTGCAAATAATGGACAATTTTTTTCATATCTTTATTATTTTAGTCATAAGGGAAAATAAAGTGATAGTGAAAGAAAACTTTTTTTTTTTCCCCAGACAGAATGATGCAACTGAATTGCTGTTGCTTGCTTTCTTTTTTTTTTTTTTTTGGAGAAAGCTGAAATAATAATACAGACTAAGTCTGAAATTGTTTCCAGTGCTTATCTGGTTTGGTCAGGAACCAAAAAAATCAGTCCTTTAGTAGACAACACAAGACCTTTCCAAGAATTCTCAGGACTCCATGGCACATACATATTTCCTTGTCCATAAGAATGAATCAGAAAAGTGAACTGCCATATTGCCATGGGACGTAATGGTCACTAATGCCATTGAATCATTTTGGCAGAAATGACACCAAAATAATTTGCTAGCATGCAAAATCTGCCTTACCATGGAGTCTCTATTTCTAAGGCACTGAAATTAATTTCTGCCTAGTAAGATGGTATTAAACAGTTTGAATCAGGAGTTTACTTCCACTAGGACACATGCTATTTCTTTTGTAAAGGGAATAAGATTTTGTCTCTGAAATCTATATTATGTTTCTATGTTTATAATATGTGTGATATAGTCCCAACTTATCCTCTAGGTACATGATATTAAAGGTAATACTGAACTGTTCATTCACTCTGATATAAATTTTTCATAATTATATGCAGTTTTGTTTTTTGCACTATAGCAATCAGAGAATCTTTACAAATTACCATTTGTGATTGATTGTTGAAAACAAAGGATAAAAAATATTAATTTTTGATTCCAAGTAATTTGGCTCAACCTGCATTTTGAATTTCTTTTTCATTTTATTTTTTAAAGGGAGTAGAAGGATTTAGGGGAGAACGAGGAGAGGTATGTATCTTTGCAATGATAAATATAGTATTACAAAGTTATTCCATTTGTTTCTGAAATTAGGTGATCTGTAAAATGTGTGTTTAGTCTTACTTCAGTACTCACATGTCTGGGAGAAATTGAAAAATATCGAAGAAGTATTAGTTACAAAGAGAATGAGGTATACATTTCATTAAAAATTATTAAAGCCAAACATATACTTTAAGAGAATTGAAAAGCCAAGAAACCAACCAACAAAAAAAGAAAGGATTGGTTGAATAGAGGAAATAACTAAAGAAAATAACTATAGAAAAAGAATAATTGTGTTGCATATTGTTTAAAAATTGGTATGTAAAATAATTAATTTCTGGGCTATTATTTATTTATTTATTTCTGTATTTTGTAAAATCAGAGTATACACTTTCCCCTTAATCAAATTCTTCTTCAAATTTATTTACATCTCATTTGTTCAACCTTTTTCCTTTAAGCATTGTTGCACATCAATAGCTGGATACATTAGTTGGAAGTTCCATTCTGATAATGAAATTTTTTTATCCATTTTAACATATAAGTTGTTTCATATGCTTCTGTGATTCTGGGAAATTCTTCAGTTGTGGTTTGGCTTATAGGCGTTTTACTAAATTATTGCCAAAACTGGTAAAAGATTCCTTGTATACTATTGAATTAATCTCCTTAAGTATTGTAAAACATGGCAATAAAATATTTATACGGGAAATTAATTTAAATAATTTCTTACTATGTATTAAGCTATAACAATGTCACTGTGTTTACTTATCAAATCTAAAAAATTAGTTTATTTTCCGTTTCTATAAAATATGTTTTTTGTTAGACTCTGATTTCTAGTAAGTTTCTTCAGCCTGTAAGTCTCAGCACTCACTGAGCTGTTTTCCTTTCTTCGCTTTTCTTTGCCAATAGCAAGGGTCAGCAAACAAGGCCTCACATGGATGTGGCTGAGCATTAAAACACCAAGATTTACTGTGGAAAATGTTCCCCCTACAGTTTCAGTTGTTTCTTGGCAAGTTCTTCAGGCAGTTCTGCTGATGCTTCCAACATTTTCTCCTGGTGTTTTTATGCTGGCTTCTTGCCTCTAATGTTGTTCTACAGTAGATGCTATTTCCTCAGTATTCTCTGGTTCTTAATGCCTTCTAGCCCTTCTAACATTTAGTTCAGATAGCTCAGCTTGCAAGTCTTTTATGTAAATATAGTCCACAGAGGTAAAAGGAATTAAAACTAAAAAAAGAACCAAAAGAAAACCTCTCCTATGTATAAGCCCAGCATGACTTCAGATCTCAACACATATAGTTTCTAGTATAGCCACAGGCAGCTACATAAGCACTATGTGCTTATCTCTGATCCTCGCTGACTGTTTAAATGAAAAAAAACACCTTAGCAATTATGTACTAGAAATGAGCAAGTACAAAACTACATGAGGTAGCTAAGAGGATCCTTTCTCTGTGACCACAACATTCAAGATGTCAATATCAAGAAAATTAATTGCAACTATAAGTTTGGAAGAAGTTGTATCTGAATTAATGCTTGACTTTTGAAGGTATGGCCTGCTGTTCAGGACATGCCTCTGAACTGGCTACCCTTCCAGCAGTAATCTTAGGCACTTGACTGATAGCTGTAACATTTTGTCTCATTTCTGTTTCTTTAAGAACCTGTCTGATTTTACAGCCTAGCTCATAAAACTGGTTAATCTGACATTGAATTTAAAGCTTGTTATCCTGTAGTTCCCAATTCATGTAGAGAATTCTAGGCATTGTTACTAATATAGACCAAGCCAGGAAGCTTTGAATTTTTCTGATGTGAAGAAACTTGATAAGTAATAGAGGAGATGTTACAAAGTAATATAAATACCATAATTTAAAATGCAGTGGAATCCTATTGAGACCATATGCATGAGTATTTTTTAAACTTCTATTATTTGCTTCAATGGGTTTGTCATATATAATAGTTGCGTTCTCACAGTTCCATCTAAAATAGTTGGAAAGTTTTTCAGCAACTGATAATGTTATGCAGAAGCTGTGCAAACAAGGGAGGAAAAAGCTCATAAGGGAGCAAGCGTAGTACACTGACTTTAATCTTGGGCACATACTGATGTTTTGTTGGCTCCAGAGCAGGGAAAGAGTTCCACATGAACTATTCCAGTAGGTAATTCCATACATGGAACCATTGCTTTGGTGAAGGTATATCAAAATATTTTTCAGCATTTTTTTACCTTTTCCAATGAAGCAAACAGGCTACAGTTACTATCAATCAGATGGAAAAAAAAAACCAACAAAAAAAATCCCTAATTGAAATAAAATAATTTTTTCCTTTGTCTTATACACTGCAGATATAAGGTAAAAGGCGTAATTATTATTGTAAGTTTCCAAGAACTTCAGTGGTGCCAGAATTTCACATCCAATTTTTCTGGCCTTCTAAGGCCAGAAAAACATTCTATAAAAATTTTTCTGATTCTGAGGAAAAAGTGAATAAAACCCTTCCTTCCATGTGTTAATAATGAATAGTAACATGGGTCCTGAAAGTTAAGAAAAGCTCATTTATTTCTAGTTCTCTTTGGTAATTTAATCTGAAACAGGTACTAAGGAAACGGAAAACTTCAATACATTTTAGTAGAATAGATATCAATATCAAGTTAATTTTCATTGGCATCACATTAATTTGATGAAGAACTTCAATAAAGATTTCTTAGAATATGTTTGTTTGGTACTACCTACCTTCCAAATGATCTGTGAACATAAAATTGGCTTTTCATTGATTTTTCAATCCAGAAGGGTGCAAAAGGAGATCCAGGCATTCGAGGCATCAGTGGACAAAAAGGAGAATCTGGTGTCCAGGGTTTGATTGGACCTCCTGGCCTCAGAGGTCAGCCAGGAGATAGAGGACCCCCAGGACCACCTGGATCAGATGGAAAACCTGTATGTATGGGATTTCAAACTTTTCATTTGGGCTACCTTAAAAACCAGAAAAAATTGCATGCTCTGTTCTCTATTCAATTCAGGCACGAGAATTTTCAGAAGAGTTTATTCGACAGGTGTGTTCAGATGTACTGAGAAGTAAGTTGGAAAGCTTCTTTGCTGTTGTTTCCTTGTTTGAAGTGCTAAAGAAGTTTCCTGATAATTATAGAAACGCTTTTTTGAAAGCACGTTCCATACTGCAAATTTATTCATTGCTTTCCTACACGTGTGGAGGTATATTTCCACATCACAGGCTCCATACTTTACCGTCTTGTTTCCTAAAATAAGTATATTTTCTTAAGAGAGGGAACTGATTTTGTATTAGTGGTTGGGGGGCAATACTTCTATTGTTGCAGCACTTTAAGCAATTTTTTGTTTGAATTCTCCCAGCCCAGTTGCCTGCCATTCTCCAGAGTGGAAGACTACAAAACTGTAACCATTGTCAGTCCCAAAGTGCTGCCCCAGGACTTCCAGGACCACCAGGTCCAAGAGGCCCTGAAGGCCCAAGAGGGTTTCCTGGTTTACCAGGGAATGATGGCATTCCAGGGCTGATGGGCATGCCAGGTCGCCCTGGGGCTCGTGGGACAAGAGGTACAGTGTGCGTGTGGCACGGTGCTAAAGGCCTTTATGCCTTGGGTTTCTGCTTCTGGTTTTGGATGGGATTAATGCAGGGTGGAGTAAGAGAATAGCTGGGCTTGCTTGGCTGAATGGAATTGTGACCATGGAGCAGGGTGGATGTTTCACGTGGGAACACATGACAGGAGAGTGAATACAAGAACACAGGCGGATAGTTATTGTTCAGTTCTACTACAGTCTACTATAAACTCTGTTCTGATCTTTTTAGAGAGTTCTTAGTCTCATGTAAATGTTTCTACCTGCATTTAGATTTTTTTTTAGCTCAAATATGTGTAGACATAAATTTCAAAGCATTTCCATGTCTTCTGATTTCTTTCCTTCCAAACTTGTTTGTTTCTGCTTTTTTAGGGAACAGTATTTGTTCACTGGGTTGCTAGCTGTGCTGATTTTTGACATCCAACAACTTTTATACTTCCTTTGATTTCCTGACTTTTTGTCCTTTTGTTCTCTTTATCTCTGAAGAATTGTTGCTCCTTTATAAACATTCTGAATTATTTTTAGGCAGGCTAAGGTTTATGCTTTCAGGTAACTTAGCTGTCCAAGCATTCCAATTGATTTCTGTGGTGTATTTGCAGACATTATGTTAAGTATGCATATATAGTCTGGAACTAGAGAAAGGGACTGGGTGGAGTCCATAATTTGGTAACTGGTAGCATCAAAATAATCAGGAAAGCTGTATGAAATAACAGCCAGCTAGTAATATGCCAATGGTAAGCAGACAAATGGTTGATAAATATTTACTTTCTTTGTGACTTGCTACCTATGACCTAGCACACCAAATTAATGATGTATGTAATGATGATTTGCCTGTAGTACTTTTATTTAATCTCCAACAGAAGAATTTGCTTTTGAAAGATTGCATATTTAATTCAATAAATATTATCAAATGCTGATTTCTGACTTCATTGGATGAAAATTATGTGCAAAGATATGAATGTGTTTGCTAATTCACAGGCCTGCCAGGGAAGAATGGTGCAAAAGGCAACCAAGGAGTTGGTGTTCCTGGGATCCAGGGCCCCCCAGGACCTCCAGGTGAGGGATGGTTCAGGTGTGCATATTCAGTGCATGCTAATAATTTTTTTAAGTGTGGTTTAGAAAAAATATTGATGTAATTTGGAAAAACTTACATACTTTGTACACTTCTTACTACCAAATATATTTTAGGGTAATGCTTGTCGCTTGCATACCTTATAAATTGCCATATAATACATTATTTAATATAAGACAGGTCCTGTAAGAGATTGCTATCTGAGACTGCTGTTTCTTGATAGGTGGATCCTGAAGTCAGCTATATCTGAAAACTGAGCCCTGATATGATCATGTGACTTTTAAGCATTACTTAATGAGGGAAAATATTTTTCATAACATTAGTGTATGCATACAAAATGTAAAGTTGGGCATTTAGAAGATCTATTAGGGCCCCATCCAAAGCCAGAGAAACAAATAGGTGCTTGCCATGGTGGTTCCAGATTATATGATAAAGTAGAATAGTGTACTAAAGCAGATTTTCATACTCTCTTTTAAAAGCTATCTTTATTTAAAGTGTTTCCCACATGATTTAAAAAAAATCTTTATAAGATATTATGTTGTTTCTATAAATATATAAGCAGTTTGTGACAAGAAATGTTTTTTGCAGGAAATGAAGTTTTCTTTTTCTGCATACTTCACCAAAGAGCCAGGGGTGTTGTGGGTTCATACTTTTTCTTTTTCATTTTAATAGTAATGCATTTATTTATTTATTGCCTGTGTGTTATTAAGGTCCTGAAGGTCCACCAGGCATGAGTAAGGAAGGACGTCCTGGAGAGCGTGGGCAGCCTGGGAAAGATGGAGATCGTGGCACTCCAGGAATGCCAGGACCAGTTGGACCCCCTGGAATTTGTGACCCATCACTGTGTTTTAGTGTAATTGTGGGAAGAGATCCATTTAGAAAAGGACCAAATTATTAATTTGTGATATGATAATTTAGAGGAATAGCTATGGTGCTTATCTTTCATGGTCTTTCAAATCTCAGGAAGGTGACCAGCAATCATCCCACACGAAGGAACAAAAGTACCTCTGACATTAAAAGCATTATAAATAATGATCTCAAAGGTTATACATTCCTTTAGACAAGAAACACCAAAACTCCAGAACTTTTTTTTATACCTTGCACTGGTGAATCTCAAGTGTTTTTAAAGAGATTATCAGTTTTAATAGAAATAAAATTACCTATAATATTTGGTTTTTAGTATTTAAGCATCTTATCATTCTCCTTTTACCTCCTTTTACCAAAGAAAGTTCTTTGCAAAGTTGCTGGAAACACCACTGGGAGCAGAATTAGGTCTTAAATGGTATTGATCAGGTATAAATAACTGTGAAATTTTTCACATGCAGCCAACTTACACAGTATTTGATTTTGAAAGAATATGGCTGGCTTTGACTTCATGTGTGTGCAAATTTCATTGCCTTAGTTACATTTCATATGTCATTGCTCCAGACGTGAGTGAAAGCATGTTATCAGATTTTTATTAATTAAGACAGATACTTGGACTCACCACAGGAGAAATGCCACCTGTTTTCCCATGCAGCTCTGCTTAAAACCGAGGTGAAATGCAAGGGTAGAACTACAGGTTCAAGAGCCAAGATTTTATTGAAGATGGTACTGTCAACTTCTAAATGTCAGAAGTTTCCATATGGGTGATTCAACCCATATGAAAATAGCATTAAAAATAAAAAAGAGCAAAAACCTGACATAACTGGCTTTAGCTATGATTTGACAAAATTAATGATTTAAAAATGTTTGCACAATCCCAATGTAACAGTTTTGTGTAATGAAGTATCAAGTTATGTACTCTTTGCTGCTTCTGCTCAAGGACTGCGTTGCCAAATTGAAGAAGCAGGTTTACAAGGAAAAAGGTCCAACTGGTGGCTGACCAGCTGCAATGTTTGTTATGCTGTTTTCCTTTTCATTTTAAGCCAGCTGTGTGTAATTTTCATTGTATGCTTTGCTAATGAAGTTTATTGCTTGCTTTTACATAAAGAGCAAAGGCACAGTTCCTGTGAGAATTGAAAATCCATTTCTTAAATTAAGGCAGAGTCCTGTATTAAGTTAACCCATGCTTCACAAGTCACTTTTTCTAATGTATTATTTTTCTGTTGTCCTGCTATCAGAGACTGTTAATATGCTTGACATTCAAGGTAAAATAAAAGACACACTTTCCAATAAGATGTATGGTTGAGTGAATTATGAGTCTGAGAAGAGGCAAAACCAAGACCAACCAAACAAGCACAAGTCAGAAAGACCTCTGACTACAGTGAATACAAACAGAAGACCAGAGTTCCCTACTTGTAGAAAAATCCTCTTGATTTTCAGCTAGTCTGATTGGCAGCTTTGTTTATTATTTCATTTGATCAAATTAACACATATATCAAGCTTAAATTTTAGAAGTAGTGGTGGTTTTGTCACCCCATTAGTCCTACTGGGGGATTGTTTCTGAGTGAGTGACGGGATCTATGAGTAATTTCCAGTTTGCATCTATTAATTGGCCCTTTCTTGTAGTTTTTATGTGTCTGATCAATTTCTATTTGAGCTCAGCTTTGGTTTTGTCTGCATTTCTGTGCACTGTAGCAGTTCCCTTACAGTTCTTGACAGGTGTTTGTCTGCTTTTCCAGCTCTGGAATGCTTCTCTTTTCAACAGACTCAGAAGCTCACAGTTAAGCCAAGGTGGTCTCTTGCTCTGCCTACTTCTCTATCTTTAAAGGAGATGAACTGTTTTTGTGCTTCCAGGAAGAGAATTTTAGAAAACTTCCTGGCATGTGCTAGCTCCTCTAACCCTCATGGCAGCATCCCATGAAATCCTTCCCAATTTAGGTCCGAGTGAGCTAAAATTTTCTCTTCTAAAATTTAAAACATTTTTTCTAATACTAACCTTCAGTGTACTCCAGTTCCTCCTGTTTGTTCCCCAGGCTGTGTGCACTGATATGTATACACGTGGGGTGGTTTGTCTTCTGGCTGTCATCTTGTCTGGCTGCTAAGGAACATTTGCCTTAATTTTTTTTTTCCATGCAAATAAAAGAGATAGTTACTTATCCTCTGCTCCTTCTGGTATCTAAAGTAGCTCAGTCTGGCCTAGCAGGAGTATTTCTTTACAGTGCTGGTCAAAGAGTACAATCTAAGCTAGCTACAGCTATAAAACAAAATCTCACATTTTACCCATTTCATGTTGTTTAATAATATAGTAAGAAAGACTGAGTTAGTAAACGAAATAATTAGGAGGCTTCACTGAATGTAAAACCAAATTCAAAGCCTTGATCTGCAAAAGGGGGAGATTTGATGCTGAATCTATTTGATTGCCTACATTCCTGAGCTGTTTGAGCTTTAGTGCTGCTGGATCTTTTGTATTTTGCTCTGAATTTGAGTCTGTAAAACTGTGGCATTTCTACAAAAAGGGATTTGGTTTTGACAAGCTGGAATTTTCCAGAAGACATGCTAGCCATCCAGTCTGTGCAGGTGCCTTTTAGCAAATGCTTAAATACACAAAGTCACTTTGGAAATGTAATTCTGCATTATTAAATGCCTAGGAGCTCTATAGGAAGTAACTTGCATCCCAGTGAAATGCATATGTTATAGCCTAGGAACCTGTGATTTCAATTATAGCTCCTTAAAAGATTTTATCAAGCCAGAATTTAACAGACTTCATAATCATTTAATTTCCTGACTTCATTGGATATAATGGGATCCTACAGCAGTGTAGGTGTGTCCAAGATTGCATCTTGATTGGAACTTTTAACTGAGCATATTAATATATTTCCAGATCTTCATTTGATTCTACAGTAAGAGGTTAAACAAATGGTATAAACTTGAGTATTATCAGATTAATGATCCACAGGAGAGAGATTTTTATTTACTATTGATGCAAACTATATGAGATTCTTGCAGATGTTAATCTTCAGTCAGAAGCTGTGAATTAAAAAGATCACAGTGCAACATGTCACCATCTCTGATATTCTCTGGAAATAATTACTGGAAATTCTGTTAACTGTCATTTACTTACTTTCCTGATGATAGTCTTTAAAACTGGATCTTGGGCTAATTTTTAAGCACAGGGCAAGATTAAAAAAAAGTCTGGATGGTTTTTATTGGTAGCATTTTGCTTCTAACGTGGAGTTAAGAAATATCCTCTCTGGTTGTCTAGTGCCTGTTGGTGTCAGTAGAGGAACTATGATTCACTACACTAAATTTTTAATATGGCTTCCACTCATACTATCTCTGTGTGCATAAAATATATTTAATATTTACCACTTTACTATGCTCATTGATTGCTATTTTCTCTCAGTTTCTTAGGCATGTACTTGGACATAAAGATGCAGAGTGGAAAAGTATTACTGTGGGAACTGGATTTCTTAATGAAAGCCTAATGCTGTATGGATGGAGATCAGCAATTTTCACCTCTGAGAATCATGATCTTAGAGAAGTTTGGAGTAAATACATGTGGAGTGATGTGTCTATATAAAAATATATATGATTTAGTAAAAGACCAGATGTCACAGATGGTTTCCACATGTGCAGATTTATTTGGTAAATATATACATGTATATATTGTGTATATATGTGTATATATATCTCTGTGTGTGTGTGTGTATGTATCATTCTCAGTTCTTCATTTGTTTAACTGAAAGATATCTTAGTCCTACAAATAAAACCAAAAAAGTAAAAGCATAAATGTGGCTTGGGTTGGAAGGGACCTTAAAGATAAGCTATTTCCAACCTCCAGCCATGGGCAGAAACATTTCCTTCCACTAGACCTTCCAGCCTGTCAGGGATGGGGCACCTGCAACTTCTCTGGGCAACCTGTTCCAGTGCTTCACCACCCTGACAGTATTTCTTCTCAGCAATCACAATTCTTTTACTATTTCTTCATAAGAGTGATGCTCCATCCCTCTAATCATCTTGGTGTCCCTCCTCTGGACTCACTCCAACAGGTCTTTGTCCTTCCTGTGCTGGGGACCCTGCAGGTGGGCTCTCACCAGAGTGCCCAGAGGGGCAGAATCCCCTCCCTCACCCTGCTGAGCACTCTGCTTTTGGTGCAGCCCAGGACACGTTTGGCTTTCTGGGCTGCAAGTGGGCATTGCCAGGCCAGCCTCTCATCTGCCAGCGCCCCAGGTCCTTCCCATCAGGGCTGCTCTGGATCTGCTCATCCCCCAGCCTGGATTGATACCAGGGGTTGCCCTGAGCCAGGTGCAGCACCTTGCACTAGGTCTCATTAAATCTCACAAGATTGTCATGGGCCCAGTTCTCGAGCTTGTCCATGGCCCTGTGGATGGCATCCTGTCTTTCTGGACTGTGCAATCTCGTCTGGAAATCTAGTATTGTAAGAACTGAACAATCTCTGTCCTGCTGCTGCTTCAGAGCCAAGGTCATCTCATTGTCATTGTCAGCTTCAGGAGTAGTCAGCACGTGTCAAGGTTGGTAGGTCCCATTAAATCTCACAAGATTGTCATGGGCCCAGTTCTCGAGCTTGTCCATGGCCCTGTGGATGGCATCCTGTCTTTCTGGACTGTGCAATCTCGTCTGGAAATCTAGTATTGTAAGAACTGAACAATCTCTGTCCTGCTGCTGCTTCAGAGCCAAGGTCATCTCATTGTCATTGTCAGCTTCAGGAGTAGTCAGCACGTGTCAAGGTTGGTTGGCATTTCAGAGGAGGAGATGAGAATTGCTAGCTGTGCATCTTTCAGAACTAGAGAATCTCATTTCTGTGAAAACTCAAGGTGCATTAAAATGAAATTTCAGCACATCTGACTGTCCTGGCAATGAACACTGTCACTATGGCTCACATGGATTGAATCAAACCTCTGTGAAAAGATACTGTAAGTTTTTCCTGTAGGGGGAACACATAGGTGATAAATCAAAATACTTGATAGTCCATAGTCAGCAGAGACCATAAACACTTCTAAGAGATATTGTCTTCTGGGGTGCTATTGAAATGTTTAAAACTTGAATTAATATAAAAACAAATTGTAGGTTATTTTCTTCTTTG